GGAAAAGTTCTTTTTTGACGCTTTGACATTAACTGTGTCAAAATGAAAATGAGCCAGTAGGCAGAATATGAGGTATCTTGTTTTGTTATTAACTGTTTCGAGAAAGTCTACTGACTTGGATAGATTCACTATCTTGTTGACTTCTTTTCTTCGTAGACTTTTGAGTAACCTGTAGTATTGCACAGGCTTAAACTCTCCATTACTATTGGTGATTTCTTCCAAAGCTCTTTGGAAAGTTATCCCTTTGTTACCTTTTTCCTGAAATGACAGCCATAGCTCCTGCACACGCGACGAATGAGGTCGCTCTACGCCTTATCTATTGGGTTGACCCATAATTTCTGGCCGATTTTGGTTCAAATTCAATTTTCTTCATGTCAAATTAGCTTCATGATGAAATAAGTTAATATGTTGAAGAACACATCAGGACCTTCAGCCAGGATGATTCAGAAGCTCAAAGTGCGCAAAGGGATAATTAAGTAGGAATCAAAATAGATCAACAACCAAACCCAACGATTTTGCCTTGCGACAATTTTAACCTTGCAAGGAGCGCGGTAGGCAAGATCAGCGCTACGTTTGCCCCAGTCTTTGCTACTGATCGGGCACTGAGCTATTGGCTCAATAGCATACGCAAAGGCGATAGGAGCTGCAAAGTTCGACCTCATCACGGACCTCCAGTCACTTTCGATGAGGACCCTTGCGCTACGAATAGGAAGTGCATCCGGACGCTATTAGCAGGAAACTGTAGCAAACATCTGGACGCAGCCTACGCTCCATGAGTCGACACCTGAATGGAAGGGGCTGTAGCAGAATGAAGCCTCGATGGAAACAGCATGCATGGACTGACCATGACCGAGAAGCACGCCTGACCATCTGCAGAAGTTTCATTCTGCGACCGTATAGACAAGACATTCCCTGGTTGGTCACCAGTGCAGATGAGTCATGAGTCCCCTACGATAACAACACGCGGCTCGCCCGGTGGCTACCTCGCAGCCTGGACGCAGCACATCAACCAAAACCCGAGCTGTTTCATCAGAGGGTGTGACCCCCGTTTTGTTGGATTCGCTGGGTATCCCGTTTTGAGAACCATTTCACTTTATGCAGACAAGCATTGCGAAGGTAACCATGGAATAGCTTCCAAAGTTGGCCGCAGCAGTGCGGGAGGACGGTTGGAAAAGTCTCAAAATCTCCTTTCTCCGGAGGACCGCCCGAAATCACATTGCAAAGATAACTCGCCACGTTTCGAGGGAAACTGGCTGGACCACGACACCACATCTATCGTATAGCCCTGACATTGCTCCATCGTACTATCACCTCCTCAGCTCCCTGAAGCAGCAGCTAGGAGAGAAAAAAGTCAGTAAATACAACCACCCCAAAAACGACCTCTTCGAGCTTTTCATCTCACAGCTTCTCTCGTTCTGGGAGGAATGCATCCATTCGTTCCCTAGCAAATGGGTGCATATCAGTGATTATGATGGTGGTTATGTTTTTGATCAATTGTTCTTTAGGAAAGATAAAACTTGAATAAATCAAAGTGTTGAAATTCGGCCAGAAATTATGGGTCAACCCAATACCTTCTCATTTTGAATGCCGCTATGATTTTACACGAGTTGTGCGGCTGAGGGAGAAAGGACTCACACCCTTGTGCGTGTATTCTCCACCTACCTTTGGATCGCCAATGCTTTTTACAATTTTGTACATTTGGCTCGTTCTATTCTGTTCTATTTTTTGTTGAGTGCATCAAATAGATTGCAAAAAAACCTTAACGTAAGTAGAATTTTTGCAGTTTATCTGCGGATTTGCGTAAACGGGAACACCAGATAAGAGCTCTTGAAAAGGTCAAGAAGGAATAGTAAATTTGTGGATTTCTGGCTATGGCGGATGCTATTGAATGCATGCGAGAAGTCCTTTATTTTTTTCCGACGTGCTCAACATCAATCATGAGCTTTACGAAGTGCCGGTGCATCTAATCACAAATATTTATTGGACCGAATTCCAACTAAATAGCACCGTCATTCGTTTCATCCGGGGAGACCTTTGTGGTCTCCGTGGCTACATACCCGAAAGAAGTCGTTCCTATAGCCAACATTACCAACACCGCCACCGTCCATGAGGCCACTGACATTTGTGGTGACAAGAAGAGTGTGACTGATGAGGAAATCGACTGAAAGTTAAGGATTAGCTCAGTGGAATAGATTTCTTCAAATCGAACTTTAAAATTATAAAAATTTGTTCAAAACCGTTTTTTATTAGTCCATCTAGGGAAGTACTCTAATTCACTGGTCATCACGCGTTGTTTCCATTGTGAGGATGTCGTTCTGAATGAACTCACAGGCCACTAACTTATAGTTGTATTGAATATTATAGAAATCCTGCAGAGAAACTTTGCAACGACTAGAGAAGCTACACTATATTCCGGCTTCACTTTCTTCGCCCTAGCCTTAGTGCAGGCAGCTTCTGCCTGGTCCTGAACTTAGTGAGGTCCATCCTGAAGGTGTTTCTCCACTATTCTTTAACAAATCAGACGGCGAAGTCAGGAAAACCGCTCAAGTTGTTAGGAATGTTTTGCCTTCTGCTACTTTATTCTGATGTAATATCATCTCACTGTTAACCCCCCAGAGGTAAATGTTTCTGGAAATTCCGGGAGGATGAGTTCAAAAAAACTGTGGGTGTCGGAGCACAGATGCTTGATTCCTTCAGGCGGTCCGGACCAAGCAAATCCAGTATCGCTAGCGATTCGTGGGAAACGAGCATGACAATCGCTGGTACCAAGGACTGTATCGTCCGACAGATGCCCCAGCGACTCGGGAAAGTAGCAAAAGTATTCTTGTTCCCACGCTAACTCTCGCCACTTTACAGGATCGGAAGGGCATAAGAACATGAGCTTCTCTGCCGGCTGACTTCCGCAATGATTCGAATGTCATCGAAGCTGACCCTTCAACGCTAGCTCTCGCTGCTAGATGACCAGAGACCGGTCGCGAGTGGATAGCCAGTCGGTGGGTGTACCGCGCCGATAGCGCTGCAGGAAGGGCCCTAGTCGGTCTGCACCCTCAGGGGATGCGCCTGTCTTTTCGCTAGATTAGCTTCCCCTGCTTCATGCTTCAACCTTATTGTGGGATCCCGCTTCAAAAGTCCCGAGATAGAGTTAAGAACACGTAATCTTGGGAAACTGAGTGTCTTAGCTAGCCGGTATTCCGAGGTTACAGTATTCTCAACACGGTTCTCTCGATTCCTGGCCTTTTTTCCAATTAGTAATAAATTCCGCATGGCCCTTTTCCTACAATAGCACTACTTCCCTTAATCGAATGAAATAAAACTCCTCACTTTGCTCTTTCATGTTCAGAGGTAACGCCATCGTGACAAGGTTGCATTTTTCAGAAAACCCAGCGCACGTCGAAGATTACATCATTATTATTATTACAATTATTATAATACAGAGCACAAGCATTTCGTCACCTGTATCAGCCTACTTAGTGAGAAGGCTTGAGGTCGTCGATGGGGTACTGCAATTTGACAAACCACTGTTCGAGCAGTAGTGATTGTTGAATCGGCCAAACCCACAAGTAGACCGCAGATGACGCAAATAAGGACTCTGAAAAACTGTGGATGTCCTATCTTGTCATGGGATTGAAGGCATGTAGTTCACACATACGTGGGCGATAGCAGGAGGCCTTCTCCACCGGATGGCCGTGCTGTTGACCAGTTGGGAAACGCTAGGAGAACAAGCGTCTGGAAGCAGATGCTGAGCGCTGCATGGCAAAGCATTGTTGGCGTTAAACTAAAGTTGTGTATTCGCCTCGACAGGAAAGACACGAATAGACCTCCTGAAAAATATAAGCATACTTGTAGTCACATATAGTAAAAAAAAAACATGCTACCACGTACCAACGAACTCGCCGAGTCCTAAGCAAATGCCATAGAATGCAACCAAGTGGGCGTTTTTGTTCAAGGAGTGGGCGAAGCTGAAACAACAGCATGTCGTCGATTCAAATAGGATATGATTGTTAGATCAAGGAGAGACATGATGTTATAGTATTTTCTTGATCACCGATGGTTTGAAAGTGTTCGCTGAGACGGCTTTTCAAGCATTAAATTTCTTCTTGAAAAAGTCTTGCGAGTCTTTTTTTGGATTTCTCTCTCGCACGCCTTGAATCCATTGACGCAAAGGTTCGAAACTATAATAGTAGAAGACACAAGACATTCAAGACTGTAAGGAAATCAGTGAGGTGAAAAAAATAACGGAAGGACGAAAATCTCTTCGAGGAACACTTCGGACCGCTACTGCATACGGTTTCCCCACTCTATCAAAACTCAAAACCTCGGTGTGTTGGTGTGCTCGTGATGCTTCCTCAGAGAGGATCATGAGCACTCTAAACAATAGGATGGTTTGGTTGTCGGTTTGTTAGTGTGTATAGGTGTGTCTGTCTGTCCACAAAAGCTTCGAGGGTGTGCGATGAGTAGATTGGTTGGGAAATTCGACACCAATAGGAATGGGGAACAATTTATGACATGAATCTGCGCGTCAACAAAAAATGTAGGAGACGGGACAGTTGAGGTGCTGAACAAAGGGATGCCATGGTCTTGGTCATATTCTTTTCCAAACGTACATTGTACCTCTACACAAGATTTTGACCCAACAAATGGAACTGTGAAGGAAAGTAAAGGAGTGTACCGTGCTCAAAGTTAGTCAGGGAGACACTTGCATTCAGATACATATAATGATTGTGTAGGGCAATAACATTCATCCACCAGTGCTGCACCCCTTTGAAATTGCACGCGCTTTAACATCCAGCTCTTAAGCAATCCTGCCACCCTGGCTTCCCAAAAATAAGCGCCCAACACCATGCGTGGACACGTTAGAGGTGAACCGACAAGTAACCCTTCCAGTGGAATCGACGGCCATCCTACCGTATAGTGCTACCTCTATGGCCCCAATGTACGCCTGAAACATGTGGAATCGCAGCAGTCCTGGAAGGGAAACTGTTTTTGTACGCAGTCTCCGCTCCTGTCGGTGACGTCGGCGGCGCCAGTCTGGCAGCTGTTGGCGTGTTTACATCAGGTATGTGAACTTCTGTGTAGGGTTTTGGTGCCCTGCTTACCAAAAGTTATTCGTCTTACAAATAGCATTGTTGATCGCATATTTCCCGAACTAACCAGTGAGAGGGCGCAGGCGAAAGGTCATCAGTGAGAAGCGCTAGAAGATCACCTGGATGCTCTTGAAGCTACGATAAGCATCAATTCAGTTTCGCCGCTATGGCGATCGCACGGTAGACTTCAGTCAAACTGGAGCATGGTAGTACCAGGTCACATGGCCGACGCATCCTATTGGCCGTTGTCACAGTTTGCGAATCGCTGCATACGAGAGCGTTGCGCCAGCGAATCGACCGATGCACCAGCGAGTCGAACTATGTACCAGCGACTCAACATTGTTTGAAAGTGGCGGACCCAACGTTAAAGGAGGAATTCACGATTAGAATGAAGGTCGAAGAAAGGGAAACTGACCTAGTTGAGGGACCCACGGACCTCCTGAGGGTGCGAACTGACGCGCAATTCGCATGGAAAAATTTGACCTCGGCGACCTATCATGCCTCAAAGCTGGCGGGTCCGGCGATCTCCGCCCACCGATCATCTGATCACTCGCCGTAGTTCAATACGTGGCGAGTGATTAGATAGCTGAGAGAGCGTAGTGTTGAAGAGGGCACAGCGATGAGAGTCGCATCAATGCTCAAATCAACGGGCAAGGAAGGGGTCCCATTTCTCGGGTTCTGGGCCGTTTCTCATGGTTCTTCCTTCTTTCGTGTACCACTCACCATCCCTAGGTTAATTTGAAATGGGTTGCTTTTTCATCGTGAATTCGTCCTTTAAAAGAAGGCCCGCCACTTTCAAACAGTGATTCTCTACATTCGCAAACTATTTATGACATCGCCCATAATGGGATGTCACGTAGACAGCGCCAGCTGATATTTTTCATAAACTATCCAGCTCCACAGAAGCCTGCTTTGTGAAGCGCACTTGGCTGAACTAGTAAATAATGACCGGTCCTGCGAAGCATACTAGAGACCCACGCTCTAAAACTGCAATAAACATGAATATGAATCGGGTTAATCTCAACTCAAAGCCATATTTCTAAAGTGCAACTTTTAACTTTCTTAAAAGAGCTTTTTGAGATTTCATGAGTTTGCTTGTCTTCTGGCTCATGCTTTGGGATGCGATGCATAGGATCATGAAAAAGTTTTAAAAGTAAGTATTTAAAAGTAAGTACAAAGCACTTAGAAAGGGGAAGCCAACATACCTGAATGTTGTGGGAAATACAGCAAGATAGAACGATGTGAAAACTCCTTGATAAAGAAAAGCCAGCGCGAGAATCATCATATTTTTGCACATAAATGTTTCGGCAAGCGATTCTTAAAATAAAGCTATCATCAAAAAGTGTGAAAACTGCCCAAATTGAAGAGAGTCATGTCCGTTCAAAAGATATTACTTTGCTTTTTGTTTTCTGCCACCGTCTGGAGAAACCTGGCGCGCTCTTACACAAGAACAGTAACGCTACCTCTTCAATTCATCTGCATCACTCTGCAATTGTTACAAGATTGGTCGTATTGAGATCGTGGGGGTAGGAGAGGGTGGCTGGGATTTCGAAGCCAGACAAAAGATATGTTGGCCTTTTTACGAGAAATCGGATCCGAAACGTCCAGCTTCTTGGTAGTCTGCAGGCACTGCTCACCGAGGTAAGCAAACCAGCCCTTTTGGCGTTTCGGCTGGGACCGTATGCTGAATGTTGGGGAGGGGATGGGGTCCCCAACGGTCGACGGTTTACTTCAACTCGGTTGAGTACTGACGCAAGTGGTGCAGCTGGTCCAGCAGCTCCGCCAGAAGGGCTGGTTTGCTCACCCCAGGACTAAGCCTTGGAGAGGGGACGGACCCGTCCTCTCTTTAAGGCTTAGTTCTGAGGTAAGCACCAAATTGTGGCGGTTCTAAGGACCGAGTTGAAGTGGTCCGTCACCGTCGGGGACTCCATCCCCTCCCCAACATTCAGCATACGGTCCCAGCCGAAGCGCCAAAAGGGCTGGTTTGCTTACGTCCTGCTCACCGATGCGGATTGGTTCAGGAGGGTGCCCGTCTGCGAGTTCCCGTTCGGAATCAATGTTTAATACTTTATTATTTTTATAATCCTATATTGGGTTTTCTCATACGTCCTGTCTGATTTCTATTCAAACTCGAACTTCTCTGTCTCTGTCCTTTGATTGTGAAGCACCCCAAAATGTTGAAGTATGCTTCAAGAGCCTCAGTCAGGTGGTTTTGGAAAGCAAGCCCGTAAGGGGTTAATCAACTAGGAATAAAAATAGGTCAGTGACAATTATGAGTGATTATGCTTTACGGTACCAATGAACTCCCGGCAGTGGATAAAATCAGCGCTGTGTTTAGCTCAGTCTCTGCCACTGATCGAGTGCTGAGCTAGTGATCCAATCGCAACGGCGAAGACGAAACAACTGTGAGTTCAACCTCATGTCGGGCCTTTAATCACTTCTGATGAGGACTTTTTAAGCCATAAATTGAAAGTGCATCCAGGCGCTACATACTACCAATGTTTTGTACCTCGGCACAGCCGTTGCAGCGCCATCTGGAAACAAGTAGAATGAAGTATTGATGGAAATGTCTGCACCGACCAACTATGACCAAGTAGCACATCTGTCCATCTGTTGGAATTCCATTCTGCAACCGCATTATCGGAACCTTCCCAGTCGATCACCAGTGGAGATTCGTGAGCTCATTACTACAACAATACGCCTGATGGTTATGTACTTCGCAGCCAGGACCCGCCACAAAGCTGAACTCCATATTCTGCGAATATTACTCTCGGTTTGTTGTATACGCTGGGTGGCCTGGTTTGGGAACCACTTCACTGTATGAAGACAAGCATTGCTAAAGTCAGCGTGGAATAGCCCTCTTTGGTATTGCGAGGGAATCGTCAGAAACGTCTCAGAATCTCCTTTCTCCAAATGAACGCCCGACCTCACATTGTAATTCCAATTCCACGATACCACATCCACCGTATGAGCCTGGCAGCTCCACTGAACTATCGCTTCCACTGCGCCCCGAACCAATATCTCGGAAAGATGCAAGAATTAAGGATGCGACGACCCTTAACGACCCTTCAAATTTCCAGTCCCTGCTTGACTCATTATGGTTCCCTCGCAAATGCATGCATATCAGCGACCATGATGAAGGTTATGTTGCTGATTTGCTCACTAGAAGAAATCAGGCCTAAATAACAAAAGTGCTAAAATTTCAGACATGAATTATGAGACAACCCAATAAGTACCTGACGAAAAATTATGAAACTCACTGAGTTCTCCAATAAAGGTCCACGCCTTCGGTTTTGTCTGTGAAGCTATGCTATTGTACTGTTTCGTTGGCAGGAAAACGAAAATCAAAATAGAAAGCAGAGAAACCACGAAATATGATCCATACAGAATACGAATCTGACTTTCTGAATACGTAAAATAGACGAAAATGTAATGGGGAGGAATAACATCTTCAAAGAGAGTCGGATCATTCAAAGTGACTCAAAAAAAACAGTACCAACCTGAAAAATGCAAGAAGCTAACACCGTCGATATTTTGCGGAGTCCCGCCACCAACAGTAAGAAATACCAGTAGAAGTATTACACTTCCAAAGAAAAAGCTGCAATAAAGCCCATGCTACTTTCCATGTACACATGAACTAATTTAAATACGTAAAATAGACGAAAATGTTATGGGTAGGAATAAGCCTTTGTAGTGAACAAGAGCTAATTATTCAGTCCTTATAATACCCACATCACAATGAGCAATCAC